CACGTGACGCACTATGCGAGGTCACCGAGGTCACCTTGCGCCTTCTTACTTCGCCAACCTTTTGCCCAGCTCAAACCCCATGGCCATGCCACCCCGATTCTCCAACTCCGACTTCTTCTCTTGCAACTTCTCCCAATCGGAGTCTGTCCTCTCCTCTTCTAAAGCCTCCCTCTTGTAGCGTGCTTGAAACTTCTGCGCTTCTAGCTCTTCCTTCCTTTTCGCCATGATCTCAGGTACAGCTTGACGAGCCACCTCCGCTTCTTTGTTTCGCTTCTCAATTGAGGCCTGAATAGCGATAAAGTCAGCGGCTATGTCGGGCTCTGCCATGTCATCCTTTATGCACAGAGCGCATGCTTGCGCAATGTCGGCATACTCCTGTTCCTCTTCGTCAGCAAGTCCGTCGAGGGCGAGAGATATGGTGGCTTCTTCTTCGGCGAGTGTTTCAATAACCTGATAATGCTTAGCGGTCTCGGAAGAGTGAGTATCAATGTCCTTGAGGATGCTGATGTACTCATCGACGACTGAGACATCTCCAGGCATGGCAGAGGTAGCGATGAGGTCTTTGGTGGCCTTGGTCGTGAGGTTGTCTCGTGTAGCTACGACGATGTTAGAGTTTGTGTCGGAGTCAGAGTCAGAGTCAGAGCCTGAAGATCCGCTTTCGATGACGATGGGCTTGTTCCTACGGCGACCGAGTGCGAAGACGGTAGAGAGGGGGGTGGCAGTACTCTTTCTCTTTTTGCGGCTTGGTAGGCGCACGTTGGCTGATGGCGTCGAAGGCGGACTCAGCATAACAGTGTCTGCATCTTGCTGTCCATCAGACTCCGGTTCGAACAATGAACTCTGCTCTCGCTCTTCTGATATGTCTTTCATTTCTGACTTCTTGTTACTACCCGTCTTATCCAAGGTCGCTCTCTTGCGCTTCGCAACCGTCTTGCTCGGAGTCGCAGGCGGTGGAAGGCGTGGGTCGACCTGAGAGAACATGCCATACCTGCCGTTGATTTCCGCGCTAGGTCGATGGGGATTCATGGCTGCATAGTGCTGACGGAATCTGTTGGCCTTGGGATCGATTTTGGCTGGCGGGCTGTTGTCCTCGGATGCCTGGCTTGATGAGTCGCTGCTTTCCACCACGCGGACCTTTTGGGCTCGCCTCGGCACATCTGACATGGCTGTGTTAGGTGTTAGGGAGCGGATGTAGGAGGTGGGAGAAGGGAATGTCACCGAAGGAATATAAGATATTTATATAATTGAGTGGATGGGCCCAGCGCATCTGTGGTGACTGCGAGTCGAGGTGACCTCGAATTACTATTGTTTCTGCAGAGGCAAGATATCAATACAACCCCCAAAGGGCTGACTATATCGCGAGATGAATGGAGTCTGCGTCACCGCGAGAAGCGTTTGCTCCACCATCCTTGCCTTCCAAGGTTACGCCTACGCCACTACCCTCCTGAACGCTACCCACCCACCCACTGTCACAACCTCCGTTTTTCCGAAACATTTACGCCGGGCGTGGTGACCTGTAGAGGACGGGTCTGGCCTTTTGTCACATTTGGGTGCTGCCCGTTTGCGCTTCTTGCTTTTCGCTTCGTTTGCGTCCGGAACGGGTAGGTCCAGAGGATGTTGCGGTACTTCTCGAATAAGTTTACGTGGTCCAGCATCTAGGTCTAGACCTGGAGCTACAGAGCAACTAATCTGCTTGGAAGGTGTAGCTAGATCGGCCTTGGGTACGTTGGCATCTTTGGGTAGTAGTAGAGGAAGAAGAGTGCGAAGAGTTGTCGATTCGTGCGACGGTGCTGCGGTGACCGAAGCGGGCTTTTCCTCTTTCTTGCGACGCTTTGGAGCCTGCTTGACCGCTTTCCTTGTTTTCTTGATGGTGGCAGGAGAAGTAACACTAGGCGCGGCAACAGGCGGTGTGCTCACGTCTCTTATGGGTGTTTGCTCGAGTCGAGGTGCGACTGCCGTTGACAAGTTCAGAGTATGTGGTAGTTTTGCAGGTGAAGAAGCCCTACATGAACTACAATGCGCTGTCGTCTTCTGCGAGGGTTGGGCATAAGGCTCTCCAGTCACTTCAGGTCGGTTTTCAGTAGGGCACGCTACTGGCTTGACCGCGGAGTCGAGAGGCAGGCAATCTTGGATGACTCGCGACGCCACTTGACATACTGGAGGGCTCGCCGTCTGCTGCGACGCAGCGGTCTTGCTTTGAGAGTGCAGGGAAGCGCTCTTTGAAACACATGTAGACTTCAGCAGCCGCTGCGGCGGTGTGTTCGGGTTGAGGAGTTGATTCAGGTTCATGTCGACTGATATTCGAGCTGAATGTGCAATAGGCGAGCGGGTTGTTAAGAAAAATACCCAGCAAGGATGGAAGATAATTCGTATAAAGAATGTATGGGGCTGCATTCAAGCGCCTATATACCGGAATTCGCATAACTAACCAGAGTTCTCGTTGTTCTGAGAGCTCAACCATGGTTCGCACACGTGACCGCCCATCACACGCTCTTATTAGTCACTCTCCACATCGAGCGTCCTCCGCCTCTTGAACATGTTCCTCACCTCAGCCCTGCGTTCTTCGATTTCGTCTCTCTTCTTCTCCAACTCCGCGCGCTCTCGTTTCCATTTCTCCTGGAAAGCCTCGAAACGCGCATCCATAACCTCCAATTCGTGATCAACATTGTTGAGGTCCTTCGTCAGAGCATTTTGCTGCATGACCAGCCTGGTGAGGGCGTCGAACTCTTCGTCTTCGGCTGAGCGCTTGGAGTTGCGCGGCGGGGCTGTGGGTGTTGCATCTGCTTCAGGGCTGGCAGATTTGGGAACCGAGGTTGTCGGCAGCGGCTTCTGCGTTGATGTTGCATGAGGGATTGTACGACGTGCGATTGAAGGGGCCGACTTACGCGCAACGCTCTGCGGGAAGCGAGGCGCTTTAGGCGTGGGTTCATTGGCCAGCGTCGACTGGGTGTTCTGCTTCTCTGGGGTGTAGGAGCTTTCGCTACTCTCATCTGCTATACTGTCATCCATTGGTACGGTACCCGATGATTTGAAGGCGCTAGGGCCCATCTGATCAGAGATGTACTCCAGTGCGCAGCGGAGACGCTCGGGGTAGGCCTTGGTTTCGTGTAAAACGCAGTCCGTAGCAATTCCAGCTGCGATGAAATACCACTTGACCATGAGCGTCAACCTGGCTTTGTCAGGTGGGTCGCTTGGACCGGTACTTCTGGGGTAAGTTTTGCTGAAAGGGTGCAAGATGCGCTGCTTCCCTGTAGCTTCGGCGGACATTGACGCGTAGGTACCACGAGCGCTTTCCAGGTAAAATCGGATCTCATGGAAACCCCGCTGCGCTATTCGTACCATGTAGGCATAGATTCTGTGCTCTGTCTTCGCATGGGTTCCGACAAATAATTTCTTCGGTTGGGCTTCTAGGATGTACGTCTGATCCAAGAATTCCATGTCATGAGCATCGGGAATATTCTCCAAGAGTCGCAACGCGCCGCGCTCAGCAAGGTATGACCATAGTAGTTGCAAATCCGGATTTCCGTCCCAGCTCATACCATGTGGGGTATCGTATGTGACGTTGCTCTCAGGTGCGTTTACCAAGCCATTTCGGTTGGCAGGCAGCAATCCATTCGGGCTTTCCATGTCTTCTGGCTCTGAGCTTTCCTCCACGGTCTCGCCTGTTTCTCGGGGGTGCTTAGAGATCCCATGGCTTCCATCGGTATTCCCGTAGACCTTTCTCAGCACAGACGATAACCGCCGACTAAAGTCATCGTTCCACGCATCGATTTTGCTTATATGACCTTGCAAAAGGAAGTAGTAACGTATAATCATGCTAAGCATTCGCTTCTTGGTCTTCGTTCCATCTGTGAAGTATTTGAACGGAACGATGAGAGGTTTCGTCATGGCTTCATCTCCGGTGATTGATGGCAGCGTCGAGGTCGCGCGGTCATCGCCAATGGATCTGAGGCAGTAGCGAACCTCCCAACCACCGCCGGATGGCAGCAGATAAGTCAGCACGTTGCGGTTGCCTACGTTTCCGATCAACAGACTTGGGGATTCCGCCTCATCCAGTGCATTTTCAATCCAGGTCAGGGAATCCGCTGGTGGCAGTGCATCCATGCAGGAGTCGGCGCCGGCCTTGGCCATTAGCTTTCGAATTGTCTGGAGGGACATTTTCCGGTTTTTGTGGAAGGTGATAAGTCGCCGAGGATTGCCGTCTGTGTCGCGTTCCAGCGCATCCGATGTCTGGTCAATTGTTTGTCAAGGATCACGGGCCTTGTTGCCAGCAAGTCGCGCGGTAATGTTGGCGCGTCTGAGCTACTACGCGTCGCCAGACGCTCGTCCCCCTACACTCAGAATACTTGAGAAAGCATGCGGAAAAGTCTGGTGCAAGCTCCTCTAAACTACAGTAATGTATCGCGATTGACGGGTTTTGATGATGAGGCTAAGGAGATGCAGGTCGCAGGAGCGTTGCTTGTTCCGGGAAGGATCAGGCGGTCCACTGCCGCTAGCATGAACACGTGCACGTGCACTGGAGTTCTTGCGTGCGACATCTTCTATGGCATTCGCAAATGATAGTGATCGTGTATTCACGCGTTTATTGCGACAGTGTATGAAGCTCTGATGATCCGATCTCCGTCCTTATCAGGCTCTAGGTACTGTGATACTTATGTATATGTTGTCTAAATTCAAAATCTCCCATCGAACAGCACACATAGCTGAGAGTGAGCCGTCTCTGGCGACACTACCACTGATTCAAAAAGCTCTCTATCGGCTCGTCAGTTCGAAACCCCTTAAATGCAGTCTTATGGGGACACTTCCACTAGGCTTCATTTTTTTGCTCTTTTTGATTCCACGAGGTGCACTTTCACCTTCACTTTTGAGGCCGAATGCGGCAATGATGTCACACTGCAAACGCAACGCACAGTGACCTCGAATTGAACTTTGCTAGCTCTATCTTTTTGACCTCTAACCTCAGATTCTTACATCCCTTTACCACCTACATATCCTCCACAATGGCTCAAAACATAGAGTCACAACCCCCCGGCGCCTACATGTACGACGAGATCGACGCGCTCGCGCAGAAACACTTCCCCGACGTCTATAACGCGCTCCTCGATGTCGACAACGTTCCTTGGGAGCGGCCTGACTACGACAGAGTCGGCTTCTCCTCACACTCGCTCTTCCTGGGCAACGTTGTCCTCGACAACATCACGTACAAAGCCTCAGCATATATGACAAGCCAAGGAAACATCCAGTTCTTCCGCCGCAACATCAGTCTTTCGCGACGCGATAACGAACGCCTCTCCCTTGTCAGTCTTTGGGCATTTCTGGACGAGAAATCCGAGCGCCCAAGCATGGATAATCTGAAGGCATTATGCGGTTTCTACTTCGTTGCCGCCGGATATGCTGAGGTGGTGAATGCGAAAAAGGGTTGGTTCCGAGATTTGAAGATGGCTTGTACGAAGGTCGGCCTCGGTCTTGGAGCATTGGTCGATGAGCCTGCGGTTTCTGGGCTGGATGGAGAGGTGGAGAAGAATGTTGAGAAGGCCCTGAGTTCGCACGATGGCGACGTCGAAGACAACGTGGACTCTGGCGATGAGACAGACGTCACGGCGGGGGCGGAGATGACGGGCCTTGGTGCTGGGGTCGACGAAGTCAAGGTGGCACACATCCTGCAACGGCTCTTGATAGTAGTCAAGACTAGACAGGAGAGCTGGGGCGAGCGGATTGAGACAGAACTGAAGTGGGCTTGGCCGAACTACAAGAAGTACTGGAGATAGGAACAAAGCCGGGCTGGGATTTGAGAGATAAGAATACCGCTAGAACGCTAAAAATGACGAGACTACGGAGCTACTGCTGTTGCTCCTTGCACCTTTGCTGCTTGGTCCATTTACTGAACTTGTCCTTCTTCCACCCGCTTTTCCAGGTGAGTGTGACCCTTTCTCCATCGATGTTTAACTTTTGTGGCTCCTTGTGTGTTCCAAAGCGTATACTGCTGCTCAGGTGACACTTAGTCGGCGGGTTTTCGTTCCAATTCCTCTGATTGACCGAGGAGTAGGACCACTGGACGCAGTATTTGCTGTTGTCGCAGGACTCTTGGCATGCCTCTGGCGATGCTTCTCCGTTCCCAGCGCGATCCGCGTCCTGATGCTCGCCGCCTTGGAAAAGGATGTTCCACCGGTTGTTCGAAGACTCGGAGGATAGGTTGTCCCAATCATTGCGTGTGTAATTCAAGTCTTCCGGGGCCATGAAGCGGTACCATAGATCTGCAAAGCGCAGGGTGGGCTGGTCCGAGGGTCGGTCCTTCTCCAATCTGAGCAGATCACTGCCGATGTCCGGTGTGATGTGGTGCATCAGCAGGATAGGTTCGCACCATATGGCGGGCGAGAAAGGCACTGTGCTTGGGTCGAATCCAGAGATGCTGGGCCAGACTGTGGTAAAGGTGATTTTCACCTCGGCCTGCAGCGCGCTGGCGACGAGATCAAACGCTGTCGTGTGGTCCGCGATCTGCTCCCGCCAGTTCTGGATAAAGTCTTTGCGCTTCTTGAACAGCTCCAGCATTACGCCTCGCGAGAGGATGAACGACGTGCCTCCGGCGGCGAAGGGATCGGGGACGCGCGCCGTCGCTGGGGCAGGCGGGTTGCCAAAGAAGTGCTTCGCGTCTGGGTCGTGTTGACTCAGCCAATCGAGAAGGTTTGGCCTGTTGACGTACGTCTCATCGCCGGCGAAGACATACCAGCTGCGGTCTGGCCTGTACTCCCACGCAGATGCCATAGTCTCCAGTATCTTGTACTTGTCCAGGATCTCCATCTCCCTCTTCTCTTCCTCCGGGTCCTCCTTCTTCAACTTAGCCAGGGGTATGCTCCTCCGCGCATAGTCGACCTGAGCGCGGTATCGCTCCAGCTGCTTCGTCTTCTGTATGAAGTCGGATTTGTAGCGCCAGATGACGTCGAAGACGGGCCATCTTCCGATCTGGGTTTGTAGGTCTGAAAACAGCAGGAGCGTGCCGTGGTCTTGTTCGTTGGTATTGAGGATGAGAGGCGTGACTTTGTTGTAGACGTCGTTTGCGGTCGTGGTGACAGCGACGACGAGCTGGTCGTGGTCGACTTGGTGCGGACCGAGGTTGGACTCTTGCTGGGGGCGCTTGCTCGGCGGGAGCTCTTCGTCGTCGTAAGTGCGCGGCCAGCCCTTGACCCAGAAGAAGGCATATATGAGGATGACGCTGAAGACGAGGCGGGCCGGGCGCGGCATGTGCTTCCGGTAGGACGACATGGTCGCTAGCGTTTGCTGTGTGGCATCTGTCGGATTAGTAGCTTGAGGAGAGTACAGAGATCAAGATCGAAGATGGCCACAACGTGTTTCACCCCATCGCAATGGCCCGATCCATGTTTGAGAAAAAGCGCGTTGCGAACGTCCGCCCGCATTCAGGGGAGCCTAGGCCCGACCGAGACGCGTGGAACAGGCCTGGTGTGGCGCGGCCTCGTATTGCTGAGGGACACGCGTCGCGGGGGCATCAGTGTCGCATGGCTTCGAGACCAGTTTTCACAGCATCGACAAAGACACCCGCATTCCAAGACGCGAACTACATAGTACAACGGCGAGAGACGCCGCATGAGGCGTTCCTGCCCTCTTGGCGATGCATCGGAGGAACAGCCGCCAATCTCCGACGATCAGCAGATCGCCGCTACGACTCCCTGCGTCTACCATTCCTCTCTTCCTCGTCACATTCCATCAGCTCCGGTACTCAGCATAGCTTCTGCAGCCCGAACTGGCCATGATTTTGCGGTCACGATGCGTGTACGGTACACTCACAGCAGCTAGCCCGTAAATCCGATAGCGCCGAAGCGAGCACCTTCCTCTCACCTGGACCTGTTCGGTGGTCTCTATAAAGTAAATGATGGAAGATCTTGTGGAGTCTTGAAGGGAACAAAGACCCAAGCAGTGATGAATTTGAGATGCGATGCAACAGATGGTGATCATATGGAAGGAACCGATGCTGACCTCGTAGTCACCCACCTCGATAAGGCAAACCATCAAGCAGGTGTATACGCCCGCCTGCGTCAATACAATCTATTAGGAAACGCCAATGTCAAAGTAGTCAGAAATTCACTCAAAGGTGCGACCGCTTGACTGGCAGCTGTTTTCCACGCCAGGCACACAGTATCTGCTTGCTGTGGAAGTGTCAGTGTTTACTCGACGTATCCACTTCAGTGTAGCAAACCGCGAGCCAATCTTCAAGGTGGTTATAAGCCCTCCAACCTGGCCTTTTTCTTTTGGACCAAATAGCTATACTAAAACAGAATTGAGTACTCCATCATTCATTGACCTCCCTGCAATTTCACTACCTTGAAGAAGAGACTCTGGCAGGCCAGACTTCTAGGGCCATACCTAATGAGGCATCAGCCTGTATGTACTCCAATCACCCTTCCAGCACATGTATATTCATTAACGCGTTTATCAGCTGCCTTCAATCTAACATGGTGTGACACAGCGATTAGTTGCGCACATTGCCTAACTGCAGATTGCGATATCGCGCCACGCAAGATATTATAGTTGCCAATACCACGCTTTCCTTTGTATATCAACCCCTCGAAATCATTCAACAATATCTTCAACCCGGGCTGTCTATCTGTCTTTCACGTCCAGTCAAGATGTCAAATCAGAACCCGGATTCGACAAATGTCCGAGAGGGGCGCCCAGAATGGCAGGAGGAAGGTTTCAGTTCTCGTCGGGAATGGCAAGACTGGCTAAACGAGTCCGAAGCCACCGATAATGCATACGACGCCCAGGTGGAGGAGCCGCCGCTTGATGACAGCGAAGAGGATGAGGGCTTCGACGAGGAGTTTGTTAGCGAGCAAGACTCAGAAGACGAAGACGACGACGACGAGGAATCGGAAGGCGGTGAGCCTAGAAAATACGTCGAGCCCGAAGACGACAGCAGCGCCGACGATCGTTCCGAGGCTGCAGACAACGGCGAGCCTGGAGTAGACGACACTGTGCTCACCTCTATTTACGGCTTCGGTAAGTAATGCTAAAGCTTTGCCAGTGCAACCTAACGCAGTAGATAGCGCACGACAAGAACAAAGACTATGCCCTCGTTGAGCAGTCAGCTCGTGGAGCTCTCAACGCTATCACCATAGCCCTTCAAGACATCATCAACAGGAGCCAGGCGCGACAAGGTGACCCAGAGAGCCTCGCGAAAGAGATCCAGAACGCCTTTGCCACGACTTTGCCTACGTACTTGAGCGTCCAGACAATACTCCAAGGTGGACAATAAGTTAGTCTTAGTCGAAGGTGTATGAGAGTGTCCAGCTGACAGATTTGACAGCCTGTTGGGCGGCCAACTCCCCTCAGCGCCTTGCCTGCGCAGGGTAATCAACCCCTGATCGGCACCTCTACCGCCGTGTCTGTTCCACCTTCTCCGCCTCCGCCGCCACCGTCAATGGCCAGTGATCTCGTATCCCTTACCACTTCCAGAGATGTACGTTGCATCTCTCTAACTGACATTTGCGCGGCGCTGACATTGTATAGGATAGCAGTGCTTCCCAAGGGGAAGGCGCCGACAGCGACTATGAAGAGGATGTTCAAGACATTACAACGCCGCCACGCCGAATCAAGCGACCCGGGCACCAGTAACTAGACGAGGTGATTCATTCTAGAGGTATGGCGATGAAAACGCATAGCGGTGAAAAGAGAGTACAGATAGGCCCAATTAGGATGATCACTTTCACCAGGAAGGGAATTTTCGAAATCTTCCAGTTAATCTTTAAATATATGTTTGAGTCTCTCGCAACCTCAACACTCTGCATCCGTTCGAACCTCAAAGCCACCAGAACCTCTTCAACATCACCATGACACGTGCCACAGCGGCTACTGATGCTGACATCAATGTCACAGGTCTAGGTCAAGGCCCCGTGGCACTTCCAATGCGAGCGCCCCCGCTCGCCATTTCGTCTTCCGTTTCGCCTGCTCAGGCACATCCCATCAAACACTACGGCAGGGATGCGAACATCTTCAAGGCCGCCGACCTCCGCTTCGATGACGGCTCGGTAAACAAGCCTGGCACAAAGGCTTACTACAAGAGCTTTGGGTTCCGCGAGAAGACAGAAAGCACCAGCGATCAGAAGATGGCCGGAGAGAGGAACGAGAAGCAGTCACTCGTCATGATCTTCAGCAGAAACGCTGTCAGGCGATCTGCCCTGACGGGCTCTGTCGCAAACAGAGCTCGGAAGCTGAGCAGGAGGCAGTAGGTGCGCTCTTTCGGTCCGATCGAGTGAGTCTAATATTTCCATAGGAAGTTCATGCGCAAGGTCAACAACGACGAAAAGCTCTTCAAGTGGGATTGAGTACCTGCAAAAGAAACGGAGTAGGGAAAGAGACACTGGGTCTGACTTCCGCTCTGGGAACGAGGCCTGACGTCATGAAAGAGCTGAGAAGTGGCTATCGGGCGGCGAATGTCGTTGTCTGTTCTTGCCCTGTTCTGTGGCGATGGTCGAACATAAGAACCGTCACTGCTCTCATACTCGTATCCTAGTACTGCGCGTTTGTTTTGCAGTCACGTTCATCAAGAATCGCACGCGATCACACAGCAGTATCACTCAGATTATGGACCCTATAAAGTCTTGTTGCCTAGCTGTGTGTCATAACCTCCGCCTACCAACACCCTTCTCTTTCTCTTCCACTCCCAAGTTTGCTCTACTATACCACATCCCTAATGCCTAAAGCATTCAGCATCCCACATGATTCAGGTGGTCGCCGTACTCCACCCAATCCTCCACCGACCAGAAAAACCGGCCTCTCTATGAGCGACTTCCAGTATCAAGGTCCTCTAGAAGACGACTCTGTTACCACCATAGCCCGTGGTCTCCGCGAGAAACGACTGCGATTCACCAAAAAGATACCAAACGATCACGACAGCGATATCTGCTCACCAAGAGACCGCCGCAGTGCCCTTTCCGTATTCGACGAAGCCATCGAAAAGATCTGCGAAGACAACCGCCTGGAAGTAACTACCGAGGCCGACTACAAGATCAGGGTGATTTTAGGGATCACCAAAGCGCAACCCTCTGCTTCTGTGTTCCAGAACAAGAAACAACTCTCGCCCATAGACCCCCAGTATGCAGAGCCACGTATTGAATGGCACGACGACCCATACAGCTATTACTCAACTTGGAGGTTGCAGCATTGGCGCAAAGACGGTTGGCCTGACTCATTTCCTGAGAGGGCCATTCAGAAAGAACGAACCATGCAAGGGGAGCCTAGATCCTGGAAAGACCAAGACTGGGCTGAGCCTGGAGGATTTAGTTGAGAGTCGGTGATTGTGGCGGGAATGATCGCGGTTGAGAGTTGCAAGCAGTATAGGTAGTCATCCAGGGCCTCCACTTGCTGAGGAAGTATCTGGGTAAACAGCCCTCATGTAGTGAATTAGATGAAAGTCTAATATCGGGTTGAGATGCACTCACAAAATCTCTTGCATCTTGATTCCGACGATTCCTTTAGTTTCTAGTAAGCGTTAATGTAACTGAGTTTATACTGGGCAGCTATCGTGTCCTCTCAAGCTGTTTCACACCCATTGTTGCCCTAGGGGTTAGCACTGTGCAACTACAGAGTAGATACGCATGTGAATGAATCCCAATACCATTCATCTTGAAAATTCCAGAGTTTATGTCCTAAACTTTGTTCCTCAGTAAGAACTCACGACCACCAACCAAATATGCCCCGTCTCAAAGAGGGTACTTCGCTATGGCGAGCTATAAAGGAAAGGGCAAATAATCAGACCGAAGCACCCCATCCGGCTTCGATGTCAGTGGTACAGATGGCTACTGCTGAAGAAACGTTCGATATACCCGAACAACAAGATGCCAATTCTTCAAATACGCCCACGACTCATATTTCACAACGTGTAACGAGATCTGGGAGCGGCCACGGTGGAACTTCCCCATGGGTCCGCCGTACTACGCGCAATTTGAACGAGGTTTCTCGGGATCCAGTTCTAACCGAAAAAGAACAACTGCAAGCTGCTCTAGCTGAATCTCTGGTACAAGACTCCGCGACGCCCGCCCAGAAAGGCCCAGCAAAGCAGACACGGAACAGGCCCTCAAAGTCCAGGGGTCTCCTGACTTCGCAGAAAGCGCAGGAAGCATTACCTCGACTCCCTGGACAACACACTGCTCTGAAGCTGCCAAAGTTAAGAATCACAAACGACAGGATATTGGTTGTAAGGGAAGTAGACAGCCTAGCGCAATCGCTGGATGCTGACGAACCATTGGATGCTTTCGATCTTGAGCATGCTAAGGACCTCGAACGTCAACGGCAACTCCTATATTTAGCCGAGGTCGAGCGACAGGAAGGCTACATACACCCTGTTCAAGGTGAGCATGAAAGCGCTATGCGCAGCACGCTTGTTCACGATGTGGATAACGATGACTTCACTGCTGCGTTCATCCTAAGGGAGATGGCAAACAGTGACATCACTGCTGATCCTGAGAGCATGGATTTTGTCCAGAGGCTAATGAATCCGTCCGCTTCTGGAAGGACTTTGGAGTCGACCCACTCGGCTAATAAAGAGAACACGCGCGAGGATCCACCCCTTCGTCGTTCGACACGAAATAAGACTTCCGCTGCTCCCGGAAGTAAAGATTTGTGCTCAAAGACCATCGAATCTGAGCAACCAGCACCTGAGCCCTTGAAACTGGATGAGGGCGAAGGTTTCATGCCATCCGCGGCAAACGACTTCAAGTTCAAGTACGACAGCCCTTCCGGACTTCAAGCTAAAGAACTTGACGCACTTCTGAAGCCTCCGAGTCGTCCTAAGGCCTTTCCGGCTGATCTTGCCGGTGAGAAGACTTTCGGCCATAAGAGCTACAAGGGTTTTGGTAGTAGGCCGAAGGAGAATGCTGCAAACGATAGGGTCAGAGAAATGGAACTCGAACTTGCGCGAACACAGCAAGACGTAGAGATGGCTATGGAGCAAGAGGATATGTGGAGCGAGTTTTGGGGTGTTGATGAATGGAAGGAGTAGACCTTTCTCGAAGACGAGAAGATGCCCAAATCCTGCTAGGGGATGTTTTTGTGCACATACCTTCTTGAACCTAGAAAGCAGTGACTCAATTCACGCATTACAAATCAGGCGGCCACCCACTACAGATATTCTAGAATCAATTGCTCATTCACGTCGACTTTTAGTGATTTGCCTAACTGTGGCGGGAATATAGCCCGTCGTAAGCCGAGACAGACTTTGTAATATAGCGGCTTGAACAGCCGCATTATCTCCACTACTTTGACTCGGCTAGCCCTCAATGAACCATAGAACTCTTCCTTCCAATCTACAAAGCTGGCGAGATGTCGGATAATCCACGAAATACTCCCACTATCACGATCTCAAATCGCTGTCAGCAGGACACCGCTGCTACTACCAGGCCTCATCAAAGTTTAAGTCGCATGGGATGGGTTGATCACCGCATTGGTAGGCCTGATCGAACAGGCGAACGTCACACCGAGCAAGAGCAAAGGGCAGCGAGGACCATGCTAACATTGAGACGACTGGTTTTGTTCTCTACAAAGGCTCATACACCAGACATCCCCCTCAATATGAGCGGGCCTGTGATAATCCATGACAGCGACGGTGAGCGGACGATCACTGCAGAACCAACCCCGGATACGACATCGGCGCCCCACGCTATAACATCTGCGAGTATTGCTATGAAGTCAGTGCCAGGCAGCGATGTCACTACGACGAATGTTCCCGCCAGTGAGGATGTAACCACTCCAGTGGTGCGGAAGATTACACTGGAGGAGTACATTAGGTTGAGAAAAGCGAGGAAAGATGGGGAAGCACATGAGAATGCTTGACCTCGGACAGTGAGGTAAGTCCGGGTATGGTATAGGACTACGTAGTGTACTTATCATCTACACAGCTCGGGTATCCTGATCCTGAGGCCGACATGTAGTCGCCAACGCCATCCACCAGCGTACTATGCACCACCCTTGGCCAGAGCGGCTGCCTTACGCTCGCGCTTCTCACGACGGATGCGGGCCGTGCGACGAGTCTTCGTCTCCCCGGCGATTATCCTGCTTCCCCGAGGTGTTGCGGAAAGAGGCGCGGAGGGTGCAGGGGAGTTGGCGACGTAGTCGCTCGCCCACTTCGACAGCATTGGACCTGGCATGGTCGGAGGCAAGCCCTTGACGAGGATGGGGCTGCCGTTCGCCAATGCCCTGACCCTCTTGTCCATGAACCCGTTCAGGCGGTCGTACAGACGGGATGCTGCGACCCCGGCCCACCACCACCCAACTGTGTTCACCGACAGCTCGTGCTGCAGGTCCCAGAAGTCCTGGTTCAGACCGCGGAACAGCAGGTCGAAGTCGGTTCGGTCCTTCTCGGTGGACTCGCCTGGAACTTGATGTTAGTGTGCGGACAAGGCAAATGTCGAATACTCAGGGAATGCGCACCGTACAACACCGCGAAGGTGGCCTCGATCTCGTTCTGGGCCAGAAACGACTGCCCTCCGCTGAGGCGGAACTGCTCGTGAAGTTGGGATGCTAGATCCATCATGATGATATCGGATCGGCGAGGCGAGAGTCTGAAGATGATCAGATTAGTATGTGAGCGTCAAAAATTCTGAGAAATTTTGAGGCAGGCGT